ATGTGCGGACAAATGATTATTTTAATGAATTTTCTTAATCCAAGGACCATAATTTGCACAAAATCATCAGACTGGAACACAATTCGAACCTGATCTGTAACTTGTCACGATAAAACTATATACCAATTATCAAATCAACGTCTTCAAGTATGACGAAAAAATGTGCGGAAAACTAATTATTTGTGTGTATTTGACCAAAACTCTGCACAAAATCATCAGACCGGAACAACATTCATACTTGATCTGTAACTTGTCATGATAAAACAATACACCAAATATCAAATCGATATCTTCAAGCACGAAAACAAAAATGTGGAAGACTGATTTGCCGGATTGACAGGTGGACAGACAGAAAGACGAACATAGTGAGAACCTTAAATCCACTTAAACTCAATCGGTAGGGGACTTATAACAAAACAATTGACCAGCGACAGGTTTAAACTTGTAAATAGTTAGTTATTTCGTTTAAGCAAAAATAGGATAAGCATCTCTAGGCCGCTCATTAATAACGTGTGTGGTTCCTTCGAAGCACTGGTCAGTCTTAGATAAAATTAAATGGAGTTCAATACTATATATATTTTTCTTGATATCTGGCGAGATGACAATATTATTTGTAAATCATTTCATTTGTTAGAATAATTTTTTTTTTATTAGTATTAATCATTAGAGTAGAGATCGTTTGTACACTATTTTCGATTGTAAGTTACTTTTACAAACTTGATCACCAAAAATTTTGATCTTTCATAAGATTATCGTCTGCAAATCGTCGACATGAATTTACAATTTCAGAGAGTTAACGGTTTCCTTACATTTACTATATATCATTTCTAAGGTCAAGAAAAGTTCAAATCGTAATCGGCATCGCAGGTTGTAGATAATTACGTTAGGAATTTATTATCTCAGACTGTAACGTATCTAATTAGAAAGATTTTGTATTCGAAAAAGAAACATCGAAATGTGTGTTAAATAATGTGAACAGTATCAGGTATATATTGTAAACATTAAACGTAGATAACAGAATATTCGTTTTAATGACAGCCAAATCGATTGAGAATATAATAATACTGCTATATCAACATAGTCGTCGAATGCCAAGTCCCAAACCGTCGAACGTTATATCGAGCTTAATTCCGCTGCAAAAGTATCTCAGCAACATTATATTTATACTCAAGTTCAATTTCTTTATTTGTTATTTTTGTATGAGGCAAAACTGGTTTAATAACAAGTTTCCACTGTTCATATGACACTTTTTGCTTGTCATTTTCAATTATAGAGTTGTTCCTAAGTAGAACAAAAATGACATACTCGCCCGTTTGATTTTTTGATTTTATTTTAAGTACTGACTAACATCATAATCAAGACTAGGAGAGTAACTAGTTGTTTGCGTGAGATTTGAATGATCTTTACCGATTGCATTACCTGGTCGATTTACTACATCAAAAGAACAACTATCCTCCTGAAGTTGGGGGATCGTTAGATGCTGATACTGAACCTGGTTAAAGTTGTGTTTCCTCTTGTCTTGATGCAGCTTCTAATGTTGCAGTGGCTTTTCATCTTGTTGATGACCTTCTTGTATTCATCTTAGTGCCAAACAAGTAAAAGATTACATTGAACAACCAAATCAGAATATTGCTTTGTACTATAAATAAAGAATTTGCAATTAGCGACCTTTAAAAGTTCATTGACGCCTATAACCAACCAGTTTAACATTCATCTGTCAGGAATGAAATATTTGTGTATACGTGAAGTGATACCGTTGCACAAATGTCGGTCAGCTTCCGATAACAATAAAATATTCTGGGTTACACGAGCGAGGAGGCTGATTAAACAATCTGTACCGAATGACGATGCTGTTAAAATAGCGCAAGTGAGGTGATATGTGCTAATTTTATATTATAAAATCCGTCAAAGTAATTAAACGGACACAGTGGTAATTTAACAGAATACTAGACGGTATTTAAAACACATGTACTATATATAACTATCTATAATGATGATAATAACATCTAGAATGATGATAATAACATCTAGAATGATGATAATAACATCTAGAATGACGATAATAACATCTAGAATGATGATAAAAACATTTATAATGATAGTAATAACATCTATACTGATAATAAGACAGCTAACAAATTGTTGCTATTGCATATATAATGATGCTTACAGTTAAGGTTATGGTGATGCAAGAGATAAAAAATAATTATGTTGAACATGCGTAACCTTCAATTAGCATCAAGCTGTGACCGCCGGAGTGAAATGTGCAGATCGGTGTCAAGCGTTGAAATGAAATGTAATAAAACGTGTATATCTCTATGTAACAGTACATAAAAAAACATTAATAGCTCAATACTTATACATAAACACCGATCGCTACCTCCGGATAGTAAAACTATTATAACATGTAAAAATAAGCAAAATAAGCAATAAATTGAAATGAATTTGCTTTAAAACACTGATATTCCATTAAATATCCCACAATTGTTGCGGGAGGCTAACTCCAATTATACCACCTGAGTTCCAATTGTAGAAAAGTGGTACAAAACCTGCACAATGTGGATCCTATATCTTTGTAATCACCAAAATAATTTTCTTTAAATCACCAAATAATATTCCGTCTGTTTCTTTCAAATGTCGGAATGAAAAAGATCGCGTGCGTAGTCATATTGCGCATTGACAAACATACATCTGATAGCCTACATTTAATAGAGGTGAAACAGCTAATAACACAAGTAATCTATGCTTACACTAATAACCGAATTTATGCTAAATCATAAATACTATTAAGATCGTATGTTTCTTTAAATTGATTAAAGAGAGAAATTCATTGTTCTCATTCAGTAAATCATTGACAAAACATATTCCTGCCTCACACCATTTTTCATAGAAAATAGTTTTATTATCAATTTTTAAATGTGTATTAAACCAAAAAGGTTGGCCCATAAAGTAATTTTGGTCATGGGCAGCATTCCTCAGTTTAGCCCAATTTAAAAGGATGTCCTTCCAAAATCTATTAAAATATATTGAAATTTATTTAATACTATCCCTATTCATCATCCAAACTTTATCTGCACCATATTTTCCATATTAATCATTGAAAAGAATTTTCCAAGGAGAATGATTGAAAGGGTATAATAATTTATAGATCCATGCCATTTTGAGTGCATAACAGAATGATTCAATATGAGGCATCTTTAGCCCACCAGTATCATATGATCCACTTAGAACATTTCTTTTGATTTTATCTGGTTTACCATTCCATAGAAACTTTAAAAAAAATTTCAATTTTCTTAAAATTTTCAAAAGAGGGATTTGAGTTAATGACTGAATGAGAATTGGCAATGCTAAAGACTTGATGACTGTAATTTTTCCTAGGTATGAAAGATCTTGGTAAATCCAAGTATTTAGTAATGCCTTTATCTTTTCAATTTTCTCTTCAAAAATATAGGCAGTCTTGTCGACAGCAAAAAGATCATAGTTTATACCTTAGAGTTTAAATTTCCCTGTCTGATTCCAGTTTAATCTTTCTACTTGGTGAAATATTTCCTTTGAATGTGCTTTTGACCCAATCCAAATGGCTTCTGTTTTTCTAAGTTTGCTCGTAAACCAAAACACTCAGAGAACCTTTCTAAAATATATAGAGATTGTTCTAACGACTTTTCATCATCATTTAAAGTTAAGGTTGAGTCATCTGCATATTGACTAAGCAAATATTCAGAGTTGTCCATCTTAATACAATTAATATCTGCATTATTTTTCATTGCTGCACTGTTTCAGTTCCAAAGCTAGTACAAAAAGGTAAGGGGATAAAGTATTCCCTTGACGAACCACTCTGTCTATCTTAAAGAAACTAGATCAATGACCATTATTTATGATACAACTTTCGATATTGAAATATAAAGATTTTACCCAATTACAGAAATCAGGACCAAAACCTAAGAATTCAAGTGTTTTCTTTATGAATGACCATTCAAGAATATCAAATGCTTTTTCAAAATCCTAAACGAATCTTGGACAGTGGTGTAACAGCAAAACATATGATTAAACTATAAAAACAGTTGAAAGGTTTTAACTCATCAGATCGACACAAAGCAGAAAAAACAAGTAGCAAAAACACAGACCGGACGTGGCAGGGTATTCACACAACATCAAAAGCTGTGTGCATTTGTGAGAATGCTCACACTGAAGCTAGTTCAAAGCCAATAAGAACTAATAAAACATCATGAATCTAAGACTAAAATATCAATCAGTACACATCCAACATACAGTGAATTTAGTATAAAGACGTTTTTAACAGTCAGATAAAAAGATGACCTTTTGCAATGGCAAATTACAGGTATCAACAGATTGTAGAACCGTGAATGTGCATATGTATATAACAATAATATTTAGTTTGCTTTTAATTTATTGATAACCAAATCAATATGTAAATCAATAAAAACTGTTTCAAATATCTAATCACAATGTTGAATTGGTAACCTCACAAAATATGTTTATCTAAAGGAAAGATAAGTTTACACGTATCTTCTTTAAGTTTACGGGGTCTGTAAACAGCATGTCTGTAAAAATAAGAATGTGCTATCCCGTTTGAAATAACTATGTGTTGATCATTAATACACCAACTTCTTTTTAATCATTTAGAGGACAGGATGCACCACACGGAGAGTAAAAAACAAATACGTCGAAAAGAACCTCGAATAATTCTGCCGACGAAAAGACATACGACAAAAAATATTGTCAGGAAATTTCTTATTGGGCAATGAGTTTCTACCAAAGAAAGAGGATACTCCAGATAAGCGTTTTTGATTAAGGTTAATCTGGAAAAGCGATTCGGATGCACGATAGTATTATTTTCATTAACCTCATTTATTAGATTCTAATTAATATATCCAAAATAATTGGTCTTTGGTCTAGCGAAGCTGTAATAAACATACGTTTTATGTGTTATATATTTAACTATGTAAAGTACCTTTCCTTAGAACCTTATATGTATCTAGTTTCAGGAACAATGGATCATGTCATAGAAAAATTGAATTTTCTAGTCGATATAGCTATAGACAACAAGAAATATCAACACACAGAAAACGACAGTACTTTACCAAAAGGTGGTCAATGTACGTATATCATAACAAACTTATTTACCTTTTTTATTGAAGTACCATATGACAATGATAAAAAGGCGAAATATAAGTACATTTTTATTTTTGAACGGCTTTTGTTATGAAGAAAAAGAATTATTTGTTAACCTCAAATCTTAAGTTTGTATGACAGCTTTTTCTTTATTATTGTTTTGTCATTTAGCATCCATTGCCTGTCATATAAATTGTACTTTTTTACTGATTGATCCTTCCATGCATTTGAGACAATGCATCTTATGAACTCTATATACTTTGCTGTTCAATGATTCTACAAACAGAGCTTGTTTTCATTAAAACATTAACCTTATCTTTTCCTGACACAATAATGTACTTTATGGATTAGTTAATGATTAATTTTAGAAAATTTCCTGTGTCAGTGTTGAAAGATGTTTTTTTGGAAAATACGTGTGATACTTCATAAGTTATCAAGAAATACACATTTTAAAATTTAATCGTAATCATGTGTTTTGCTAATGATTGTTAAACAATAATCAACAAGTTATTTTAATTATTTAGTTGAGCGTAAACGTAAGAGGGAACAATTTGAATTACACTACATACTATTATTACAATTGTTCATTACAGATAACGAAAGGTGCACAACACAGGAGCAAAAGTATAGTGAAGAGCGAGGTAAAGTTATAGGTATGATAAGTTTAAAGTTCATCGGATGTTATGATAATGTTTCACCGAAGTCATTAAATATGATTAAGTAGCAGTGATGTATACACTACAATACGCAAATAAACCACTTATTTGGGTCGAACTGTTCTGAATAAGAGGCGGAAAATACAAAAGGACGGTCAAAACTCATTGAAGAAACAGTTAACAGCATGGCAAAAACAAGGAATAACGAAAGTATAAAAAAAAACAACGGTTTACAAAACACAAAATAGAATATCAAAAATTGAGCAATACGATCCTACAAATGTTGGTTGATTTCAAGTCCTTCAGATCGGCAAATACATCCTTTTCAAAAGCAGATATGTTTTATGTAGTATTTCAAGCTATAATACGCCTGATTCCATTCTTAATCTATTTCAGTTCTTAAACATCCATGGCTTTAAAATACTCGGCTTTGAGCGTTCCTGATGATCAAGATTTAATTAACGTATTTGATATCCAAATAGTCGATTTGAAATTATTCCTTCAACAGTTGTATGGATGCCATAACGAGTTAAATAACCTTTTTGGATTGTCTGTGTCTAGTTGGCACTAGTATGGGCCAATTAGCATAACCACAATCCCGTCCTATTTTTCATATTGTGTAATCGTCGAGATAGACGTAACAGCAGATGTGTACTTGCATGAGCAACAAAACGGGTGCCCCATGTGGTTCAGGAACCACTTTACCTTCAGAAACACCATATTTAACCCCCTGTATTAGTGGGGTTTGCGTTGCTCAGTCTTTAGTTTTGAGGACATGTTAGTACTTTTCGTCTTTTGGGGTTGTGCTATTTTCTTCGACTTATTAGTTTTGATTGCGCACTTGGTATCTTACGCATCTTGATTAAAAAAGAGGGACGAAAGATACCAGAGGGACATTCAAACTCATTGATTAATGTACATAAGAATACAGGACTTCTTGAACAAGTGGGCAGGCACAATGACCTTGTCATTTTAAGGATGCAGTGATCCATTTTGTCCATACAAGGAGTAAAGGACTGAAAACAGCGTATAATACAAAATACTAAATTCTAGTAATGAAATTGATATGATCCACGCTAAAAGTATGCATTGAAAAATCATATTTTATTTTGATATTATGATTAGCCAAAGATATTTGATTCACAAGAACACTTCAAAACAGGCTAAAGGAAGAAAAATATTTAGACAGTCTTGGTTATGCATTGTAAAGTCTATACGTTTCAATAAATTGAATTATTTCCCTAGCGTTTATTTGCTGTCTTTTAAAACATGAAATTAATATTCTGAATTATCTTTTAGACATAGAGCGCTGTAAGTTACATTGGAGGATAGAGACCCCAGAATATCTGGAATATAAAAAGGATGATATCGTGAAGGCAATGAAAAATGCGATTGAGATTGTGAAAATAGGTACCTGTCATGAAATTGAAGACATCAATGAGGGCTCTATAACTATTGATACATTACTTCCAATCAGTATACTACAAGACGGAAAAGCATTTCATCATTCCATTCGAAAATTTTTGGATGCAATGGTCAGCATTTGTGGGATAGACACGAGTATTCCATTAGAAGTAAAGGTCCAGATTACTTTAATTGACCAGGAACAAGGTAAATTATCACATATATTGGTTTTTTTTATAATATATTACCCAACAAAAATTTTGTGGATCGCTTGACGTCCAAAAATAAAGATCGTTCTCACATTGAGTGTTACTTAAATATAATTATTTCTAACATTACGCTGAAATGATCAAATTCAGATTTCTATCTGAACTTCTGACACACATTTTGGTAAGTTGATTGACCAGTTCATGGGTTAGAATTACTACACAAGCGGTAGTTCAGACATATTGTGTGTATAAATTAGATCGAATATAGGCATCAACAGGACGAAGAAGATAAAATATGGTCAAGAACAGATGGAATAACGAGAAATAAATTATTCATTGTATATGTAGTTTCTAATCTCTTTGTATTTCATGTTAGTGGTTGATGAAAAGATATTGTTGATACTTTCACAGTATAGCTCTTATCTATTTATACATTCATGTGTTCAGAATAACATTTTGTTTCATTTTTTTTTATATTCAAACAACATCTTTTTTAGAGAAAAGAGTTTTCGGAATACTGGCCATTTATAATTAAACATCATTACGTTTTTTGAATTGAAAACTGATGGCATTTGTTAATTTTCTTTGAAAACATAAATTAACTGCTTTGAACTTTCAAATATGTGCACAAGTGAAACAAAGATGCACATAGTCTACATTTCCTCACGGTATATTCTTAATACTGTATGCTTAAACACGTAATTACCAGGTTCGTCTAGTGGGTGTTTCGTTCCTGAAAGTATCACTTACCAAGTAGTCAGCATTTGTATGTACATGTACTGTACATATAATGTTGAATTATTCGATACACATAGGTTTACCTCCTTCATAGGCATAGATTGCTTTAAGCGTGTTAGTTTCAGAATTATCGGTTTTTGAAATGCGCTTTATCTTCGTATGTGATTTTGCTCTCAAACTGTTTTGATTAGAGCGCCAATGCTGAGTCTGATGGACGAAATGCAAGCCTGGTATATGTCGTGATGTTTTACAATCACTTGGTCGATTCCACTGTTGGTGAATGATGCGTTCCCAAGGATATCACCAGCCTAGTTGTCAGCATTTTTGTGTCGCGATTTCATATGTTCTTTTTCCTTAGATTTACTGTTGAATTATTTGACAAATTCAACCTGCAGGCAAACGTTTTTTAGCTCTGTTTGGAATTGTCTACTTTCTATACTCTTCAACATAGTTTTTTATTTGGCCTTTTGATTTTTTTTATTCGAGCCCACTGCTCAACTTTCTGCAGACGAACAGCGTGTCTGATGTATCAATTTTAACAACCTCAAAACGGTGTCATATTCTTCAATCTGTGTCAAGTCGAAATGACATTCGTCAACATATGTCTGTGTTAAAATATTGCTTCTTCAAATCTGTGTTCAATAACGTCGTTTACAAATCTATGATGAAAGTGAAACCGGCAGTCCCCTGTCATCGTTTGTTTTTGTTGAATTTTTTACCTTGAATTGGTTTACTTGACTTGCTTATGAATTCTTTCTATTAACTGTTTAGCCACATTTTGTTTCATGCTGCAATGTATAGATATCTCCACAAACCTTGTTATGATCCTGTTTATTTTATTTTTTTTGTAATGATTAGTTTTTGCCTTTCTTTCTTTATCATTGACATTATCAGTTGGAATCTGAACAAGAGAACAAATATAAAAATAAAATGATGTGGTTTGACAGCTCTCCACACGAGACCGAATTGCATAGGAATTAACAACTATAGGTTACCGTACGGCCCTACACAATGAGTAAAACCCATTCCGCATAGTCAGTTTTAAAAGGCCCCGTATGACGTCGACAAATGTAAAACAATTCAAACGAGAAAACTTACGGCCTGATTTATGTAAAATATAATGCACGTAAAACAATCAACAGCAACAAACGGCAACCACCCAAAATTCCGTATAACTATTGTAATGACATTCTTTTTTTAAAGAACAATTTGCTGATTTCGCTCGGCGAAATAACTCATGAACAAAACATTAAAATGTAGATTTCAAGAAAAAAAGAGCAAATTAATTTTAAGTATAAATTCATGTGGCCTAAACAGGAAGCAATCATCTGGCGTAGCTTGATAACATTACATTTAAATCTCAATGTTCTATGATTTTGAATATTGTTTAGACAAAAACAAATCGAAAATGAATTAACAACTAGTGTGGTCTCGAATGAATGGTGCATAATGGTATATATGCACTTCAAAAGGAGAGAAACGGGATGACTTGGTTAGTTGAGTTAAATCAAGGCACAAATATTCAACCGATGTTCGAAACTCATAAATCAGTAAGGAATCAATCGGTGAAATGACATAAAAGACGACTTTTCTATTATGTAACGAAAACATGTCGCCAGTGAGTTAGATTATGAAGGAGATACAATGGATTAGCTTTGGCTTGTTTTTACGATACAACACTTATGACACGTATAGAAGGACACGCTGACCATGTCAATTTACACGGTTTTGTTCCTTTATAGATTCATATGATGAACTCAATTTATGTTTGTAACTTGGTATGTCTGTTACTATTCTTTGTGCGAGATTTGAACATCGATAAACTACTGTTAAAAGTGTCCTTAGAAACAACGTTATATTGCTGGGTCTTCCAAGTGCTCCACGTAACCTCTTTCTAAATCAAAAACATCAATTTTATCAGCAATCAAAGCCGCGCTTAAAGGTTATTGTGAAACCACATATTCTAGAGGTGGCGTTAATACTAAAAAATCCCAAAGATCTGTTATAGTAAATGCAATCTAAGTCTTTTTCACCTGCAAAAGTATTAAAACATATGACTTTTCTACACTTTACATAAGTATTGGCCATTCCAAACGCAATGGCGAATTGAAAGGGTTATGCCTGTTTTGTTTAGTAAAAAAGAATAGCCAACAACGATACAAGTATCTTGTCTTAGGGAGTTAGAAATCGTATTTTGTAAAAAAAAAAAATCACCCTGATTCAAACAAACAAAATCTTTGAAACTGATATATGCATTATCACGATGCTTTATTTCTTGATTGACAACATATTTATTACGTTTTGAGAACTAGTTCTTGAAAAAACAATCGGCATTCCCATAGGAACCAGGTGTGCTCCTTATCTTGTCGAGTTGTTTCTTTATTCATATGAGGCAGACTTCATATAAGTACTTCTTATGAAGAAAGAAAATAAGTTAGCCGTATCCTTAAACTATACTTTCCGCTATGTTTGCCGTTTTTTTCGTTTTGAACATAGATTAGACCGTTGGTTTTCCTGTTTGGATTATTTTACATTAGTTATTTTGGGGCCCTTTATATCTTGCTGATCGGTATGAGCCAAGGCTCCGTGTTGAAGGCAGTACTTTGACCCATATTTTTTTTATTTTTACACATTGTCATTTGGATGGAGAGTTGTTTCATTGGCACTCATACCACGTCTTCTTATTTCTATATGGTTGATGTTTTCTCAAAATTTGGTGACTATGCTAAAAACATCTATCCCAACGAACTTGAGATAAAGGAAACTACAGATACAGTTAAGGCTGCATCATATCTTGATTTACATCTAGAAATTGACACGAGGGACGGTTGATAATAGAAATTACGACAATAGGAATGATTTCAACTTCCCAGTTATGAACTTTCCATTGCTATCTAGCAACATTCTAGCAGCGCCTACATACGAAGTATATATCTCCCAGTTGACACGACATTAAAGGGCTTGTATTTCCTCTCATGATTTTCCCGATAGAGTGTTTATGCTAACTAGGTAGCTATATATTATACCGATAGTTCCAGGTGAGTGGTGAGGTTAAACGCACCCTTTCGTTCATTTTACGGACAACATAACGACTTGGATGACCTAAATGAATGTCCATAGAAAATAGCGGATAGGTTCAAATTGTCATCAATTCAATCTTGTCCTGCTTTCCCCGAATGTTACCTACCGAATTAGACTTATGACTTGGTTTGCCCTAAAATGAGCAACATGACGGTAGTCACATGTGGAGGAATATCTGCTTACCCTTCTGGAGCACTTGAGATCACCACCAGTTATTGTTTGCTTTGTGACAAGAATCTATGACAAACAAGATGATTTTAATTTTGAAATTATCAATTTCCTCAACTTAGTAGCAATATAACAACTTGACCTGCGTATGGGATATATATTTCCCTAATTATTCGGTATTCAAGAGCTTAAAGCTGCTACTCAGACTTTGTAAAACGTCACCAGTATCTGAGTAGAAAGTTAATGAACCAGGGGTATGTCAAAGATCGTCTCGTCCTTTTTCATAGGAAGGAACCAAGACCTTACTGATAAATATTCCGTATCAACTTCACAAAAAAATACACGATGGACTTGAAGTATAGATTTTAGACACTGACGTTGTTTATAATCTTAATAACGTGTTATAGTATTCTTTTGTTTGTCTTTATGCATATTACTTTTACTGTTTATTCTGTTTTGGTGATATTCATTTGACGTTGCTCTGTACGTATACATCCAGTCATTGTGTTATTGTGCTATGGTAAATTTGTGTATTCTTGTCTTTCATTTTTGCTAATGTACTTTGTTTATATGCCTTGTTGTGTTTCTTTGTTACATATGACGTGGCTCTGTACTTATACATCCCGTCATTGTGTTATTGTGCTATGGTAGATTTTTGTATTCCTGTCTTTCGTTTTTACTAATGTGCTTTGTCTATATGCCTTTTTTATGATTCTTTGTTACATAATTGTTTCTTTTTATAGTGATGAAGGTTATAACACAATAATTTAATGGTGGATGTAACACGTCTTCTAATTGGCTGAAAGTGTTTTGTCTATCAGCTCAAATATAATTTTGTCATTTGACCGTGACGTCACCAACGTTTTTTTTCAAAATTTACTCCTTAAAAATGGAATTTAGAATTAAATTATAAGGAATGATTCAAACATTTTTTCTGTCTATTCGAAATAACCTAAACAATGTGGTGCACACTTTTTAAATAACCCGCTACGCGGGTTATTCAGTGTGCAC